CCAACCCCTCCCCGCCCCCACCTAATGTTTCCTAGAAAAGCCAGTGATATTCAGTGAATGGGTACGAAGTCTGACTAATACGTACTGAGTATATTAATTATCGATACAGTTGTAAATAACACAATCAATTTACTGTATGATATACCTTGTGATAATTGATGTTTTTATTTTTCTATTCAGAACTTGTTGTATAAATATCCTTGACGTCACTTCTTTTAGTACACTATTGTTTCCATGTTAGATTGATTTACAGGTAAAAATATGTGATAACCATCAATACGTGCAGGTTAGAATGACACAAATAAATAGGTAATCAAACTACAGTAGAGACACAGGCTGAAATAGATCAGTTGTCGAAAGATCTCTACTTGTTAAACTTCAGTTGGGATACAGACTCAAATAGATCAGTTGTCTGAAGATCTCTACTTGGCAAACTTCCGTAGGGACACGGGCCGAAATGGATCTGTTGTCTGAAGATCTCTACTTGCCAAACGTCTGTTGGGACACAGACTGAAATAGATCAATTGTCTGAAGAATTCTACTTGCCAAACTTCAGTAGAAACACGGACACAGATCAACACTTATAGTAGATCATAACATTCAGTAATAACGCACTCATGTTTTAAAAATAACCCGATGTTAAGATATTTATATATTGTATATATCTAGAATTAGTATAGTTCATAATATGTTTTGTTATCTGAACAAAATGAAAGAATCTTTGCTCATCAAACCAACCCTCGTTGAGTGGAGTATTTTCTTTGTTTATTGAACGTATCACCAAGCGTCTGTAAACTTACTACGCCAGTAATATTTGATACTCAAGTTATAACAACATTTGATTAAACAATGTTTAAAATCAGTATCAATACAGACATTCTTTGAACTATTGTTTTATTGGGTATTTTCTATTTATTCAATCGTCGATCGATGTCATTTTTTCTCGATCAGGTTGAAGAATATATTGGAATCGAGTCAAGAAAACAAACCATTTAAATACAGGTCAGGTATCTTCTTGGGAAAACTCAATTAAATGAAATGATATGGACCTTTACGTTCAACTTCTCTCCTTTTGTTTTTGATTTGAAAAGGCTGGTTGGGAAACTACAGATAATTCATGAACAGAAATAGACAATTTATTTATTTTTCATCCAGTTCTTTTATATTGGGAGAATTTGACGAGGATCAGTTTGCAGCAAGGATCATGGTAATTCTAAGTTATTATCAGTATAAACATTATTCTTCTCTCCATTCTTTCTGGGATTTTGCAATGATCAATAGACACATATCATACCAACCTTAAAAGAAGTGAGCGCAAATATGCCTGAGATTCACATTATGAATTGTGATGTACTTTACAACATAATCTTCTATAATTCTCCTGTTTGAAAATAACAAGAATGAAACCTCATCTATTTATTAATCATTACAATCTAAAAATAAACACTTGTTCTTCCTGGTGAACAATGGTGAATACAAAACATCAGCTAATAACCTTTCTACCAGATAAAGACATGGACGGAAATAAAAACAGTTTATGACACAGAGAATTTAACGTGGGCGATCAAATATAATCATTCATCCCAATGCTTCTTCATTGCAGGCACTTGTATATCTCTCGTTTACCACCAGTTGCTCATTAAGCAATATTTGGCAATTAGATAGATGGGCAATCGGTAGATTACCAGCAGTTCTATCATTGGTCAGGGTTCATTCGTATCAATTTCAGGACAAAAATGCTGCTAGTTACCCTCGTATATTAATCGGGGGTCGCCATATTGACAATATAACAGATCTATAACTACAGACCTGGTTCAATGTTTCAATACTAGATACATAATACTACATGAAAGTACCACAACCTCAGACTGGTTCCACGTTTCAATACTAGATACATAATACTACATGAAAGTACCACAACCTCAGTCTGGTTCCACGTTTCAATACTAGATACATAATACTACATGAAAGTACCACAACCTCAGTCTGGTTCCACGTTTCAATACTAGATACATAATACTACATGAAAGTACCACAACCTCAGTCTGGTTCCACGTTTCAATACTAAATACCTGAAAGTACCACAACATCAGAATCACGACAACCAAATGTCATCTATTTAGCAAGCTATTGTATGTGTGTCACGTAAAACTATGAAAGTTTTCAGCACATAATCAATCAAACGATATTTTGATGTCAGAACTTTCGAAATGACGAATCAATGACATTCGGTGACAGTGTGGCCAAACTCATTGTTAAATAATCGCAAAGGTGTTTTTCTAACCTGTTTCACGATATCAAGGTACGTACTACGTATACATGGTATTAAAGTGAAGCTACCGTCAGCTGTGATTCCTATAATTCCAGAACTATGTGACCAGTGTATCTTGACACTACACAGTACACATCCTGCTAGTCCAATAGAGTTTACATCAGTGGTACCATAATCTGGTGAAGTTGTTCTGGAATTACATGAACCACAGATGTAGAATACGAAATCAGAACTGGGCGAATGCAGATAATTATCATCTTGTGAATTTGACATCTTACTTTAACAAGTCTGTGACTATTTCTACCGTGTTTCCCTTTAGCAGGTAAACCTAGTATTAGGGCAACGATTTGAGGATATTCGAGTGAAGTTATCTACCCAAGAAAGAAGGAATTAAAATCAAAATGCTAGCTGATACACATTGGCAGATGGCAAAAGCCCACATACCAATCCAATATTATTTTCGTATCGTGAGTTCTATTTGTTTTATTTTTTTTCACCAGAACTGGAGATGGTGATATTGATATAAACTATAAAAAATAAAACGACGACTCGTCTTGTAACAAAGGAAAAAAATAAATAAAAAATAAATCACTGGATAAAGTGCAAACAGTAGGTAAAAAGTCGATACAATTAGAGTAAATGTGACGTTTCGGGATGTATCTCTTTATCAAGCGAAAAAAACAAAAATTAAAAGGTGCTATCTCTTCGAAGAACAATACTAATCTAACAAAAAATGGTACAGTCAGATAACCAAGAAAATATTTGTTCGAGGGAGATAATAAACTTGAAAGATATAGGTCACGGAAACATAAAAGAATAACAAGAAAATGAGATGAAAGAGTTTAAAAATTTAGACAGAAACCAGAAAAGATAAAAATAAAAGATGAGTGTCAGAAATTAAATAATGATGTTG